TTCACTTTCCTCTTGCACCAGCCGACGGGAGCGCCAGATGCGTCGTTGGTTTCGGCATCGCGGCGTTGGCAGACGGACGTCGCCGCAGTCTGCCGCGCGCCAGGCGCGTGAGATGCGCGGGGCCGTCCGTGCTAGGGGCGTTGGGTTGGGGCGCGGGCGTGGGACCGCATGGTCTGTCGGGTCGTTGTTGTTTGTTGCGTGGCCGAGCGGTGGGTCAAGGGTCGGTCGCCGTGGCGTGGGGCGCATGGTTGCACGTGTTAGTCGGTGCCTTTCGGTGCGTGCATGCCGTCACGATGGTTGCGCCGTGCTGTGGCCTCTTCGGGGGAGCGCATCAGGCGTCGCGTTGGTGCGCGTTCGGCGGGTCGGTACGGGGGGATGACGTTTCGACGTTTGGGGATTGTGGCGCTGGGTCCAGGCACCCGTTCGAGGGCCTCGGGTGGCGTCGTGCCGCGGTGCCCTCTCCCAGTGGTATCGGCCCCGCGGCCGTCGGCTATGCCGCCGCCATCTCAACGCTCGGTCGCCCGCAGCGGCCATCGGCGCGGCCCTCGCGCGGAAGCCTTTGCGACGGTGGCGAGTTGCCACCACCGACCGCAAGGACCATAGCCGCGACCACGTTTCATCAACAGCCCACCAGAACCCCATCCAAACTCATCAAAACCTGATCAACATTTCCAACCACATCACCAACGGTCATCAAAACCCATCAGAAACCCCATCAAAAACCATCATTTCCCATCGCGCACGCATGCGCGAGTTGTGCGGGGCATCCATCAAAAACCATCAAAAACCATCAAAAACCATCACCGTTTCCACCCACGTCACCAACGGTCATCACAACGTCATCAAAACCCCATCAAAAACCATCAACACCGCATCGAGTTTGTTTACGACCCGTCCCGAGCCCATCGGGGCTTCAGATTTTTGCAAAGGGCGGGGGGGGGGTCATGCAGGAACCCAGCGGCGCGGGGGGGGATCGGGGTCGCCTTTGCCGACCGAGGGGGCGAGGTCGCGGTGGGTTTCCGAGTGGCCGGGGGGGGGGGGGGGGGGGGGGGGCGTCGGGGGTCGGTGGTTGGGGGCATGCGTGGGTGGGTGGAAAGGGGGGGGGGGGCATTCGGCTTCGGCGGTCGGCCACAGGCCGCGGGGGTCGGGGCGCGCGGGCTCGGTGCGTCGGGTTTGCGGCGGCGGCCGATGTGTCGGGTGGAACGGTCGGTTGGCTCGGGCGCCAAGGGCATGGGTTGGTGGGCAGCTGTCCCATCCGTTTCGGCGCGAAGCTGTAGGGCCCGTTGCGCGGAGCGTTGGGCCTGCGGCACAGGGCGCCATCTGCCGAGCATGTGGCCCAATTCGTTGGGGGCCGCGTCGGGGCGCGACGCCATGGGCAGCTTGGGGTGACGGGCAGTGGCCACGGCTTGCCAGGACTGGGGTTGGGGTTTGGTCCTTGGCAATGGCCATGCGCCAGAAGCTAGGGCTAGGGCCGCGGCCAGCGCGAGGGCTGAGGCTACAGCTTCGGCAATGGCCTGGGCCGCAGCCACGTGCCGAGTGCCAGGGCGGGGGTTGGGGCTGGGGCTAGGGACATGAAAGGGGCGAGTGCCAAGGCACGCGTTGAGGCAGGGGCCAGAGCCTTGCCCAGGGCCGTGGCTGGAGCAAGGGCCATGGCTAGCGCTGCGGCTAGGGCCGAGGTAGGCGTTGGTGGGAAATGGCAAGGGCCATGGCCAAGGCCAACGCTCGGACCAGGGCCTGAGCTAAGGCTGGGGCGAGGGCAAGGGCTGGGGCTCAGGCCAGTGGGGGATGGAACGGGGACGGCGGGGGCGAGGGCGAGGGCTGGACTTCACGGCTAGGGCCAGGGGCAAGGCACGGGCTAGGGCTAGGGCGTGGGGAAGGGGGTGGGGGGCGTGGCGCGCGGGGTGCCAGCGCGCGCTGCTCCGCCACTTCAGTTGCGGTTTCGCCGCCGGAGTATACAGGCTGAACTACGTGCAGCGCGCCCCGAGCTTGAACCGCTGGCCTGTGCGCCGAGAGCCCCAAGCCCTCGGCAAGGATGGGGTTCGACTTGGGCATGGTACCGTGGGCCCAGGGCCAGTCGCCCTGGCGCCTGATCGATCTGCCTTGGTGCTGGGCAGAAGTGTTGGGGCACGCCCCCCGTGCCTGCGGCGCCGCTCCGTACGCCCCTGGACCAACCGTTCAGCGCGCTAAGCTACGTGCCGTGCGCCTCAAGCGTTGATGCAAGCCTCCCGTCGCCTTCGACCGCGCGCTCAGAGCACCCGCGCCAAGTGCCCCCTGCGCCCGAGTCAGGGCCCCCTTGCATGTGGTTCTTAGCCACTAGCCTGAGCGACGCGCCACCGACGCCTTGAGCTCATTCCACGCTGCGCAAGGTTTGCCACGTCGAGCTCCGTACCATGGGGCACCGCGCGCGAGCGGCACGCGGCGCGCGCGCGGGGTTCGGCGCCATGCCAGTTGGCGCCTGCGCGTTGGCTGCGGGCATTGGGCCAATGCAGCTGGATCCTAGGCGTTGCGCCACGCTGCCAACGCGCCCAGCTTGGCGCCTGGTGCCCTAGCGCCGCGCCGCGCGCGCAGAGCCCCGAGCGCAGCGCCCCGACCGCGGACCTCGATGCGTGGGGCGGGAGCTTGAACACCGACGGAGCGTCGCTCCCAGCTCGGTTGTTCAAGCTTGGATCCACGGGCCCTTGCGTCCATGCCATTCAGGCTGGCGGCTTCGGCGTCAAGCGGGTTGGCGGAGCCATTCGCCCCTAGTCGCGCGTTTCGGGCGCCGTGCCCTCACGCGCTTGCGAGCAGGGCCCGCGGTTCGTTGAGTTGAACCCCGCGTGTGCTCGAAGTCTGTGCCCCAAGCGCATCGCCCTTCCCACCCGCCTGGGCATCTCCTGGGGCGGGCCATGCCCTGGGTGGCACGATGCACGGGCGTTGCCCCGAACCTTGCCAGGGCACCCAAAGTAGTTTAATGCGTGGCCCTGGCACCGCTAGAAGCGAACGCATCCTCTCATGCGTGGCGCGCGCTGTGCTTTAATTGCATCCTGAAGCCAACCAGGGCCACGCGTTTCTCCGACAGCGCTGCGTGTGAAAGGCGGGCGGTGGCCGCGGACCTCTAACGCGTGGCCCCACGAGCCCGCCAGGACCCCACCAACGTCCACAACCGCATGTCACCTGAGCTTGCCAGGGCCTCGGACGTCCTCGAACGCGTTGCCCTTGAATCCGCCAGGGCCCCGTGGGCCGTCCTTCTCGTGGCCCCAGGACCTTCCCAGACCTTCCCGATTTCTTCTAACGGTCGGCTTCGATGCTTCGCATCGCCTTTCTGGCCCTCGAATGCCATGCGCCTGAGAGGTTGGCGCTGGCTCCGCCGCCGCAGCAGTGGGCGGGGGCAGATGGGCGAGCGGGGCGCGGGCGTGCCCCCGCCAGGCCGCCAGGGCCCCGCGCGTCTACCAACGCGTCGACCTCGAGCCCGCCAGGTTCCCCACAAGTCCTCTCACGCGTGGCGCGTATGGATGTCACTGCCCCGTAAGTCCTCGAATGCGTCGTCCTTTTTGTGGCCATCGCTACACCCCCTGAAGTCGCCAGGGCCCAGCAGTTCTCTGAAAGCTTTGCGATTGCACGGTTGGTGGCCGACAAAGACCCTAATGCGCTGCCCCGAAGCCCGCCGAGGCGCGCGAAGTCCAACGGCCCGCGGCCTTTGTTCTTCCAGTGCCCCGACTGTCGTTTCGTCGTCCCCTGCCCAGCCCGCCAGGGCACTGAACAGTTTCCTCACGTGCGCCCCTAAGCACCCCCCCTGCGGTCTTCAAACGCGCAGCCCCTGAACCCAGCATGGCCCCGCGCAATCGGACAGCCCCAAACGCATCAGTCACGCGGCAAACGCATGACGCAGCTGACCCGCAATCTATCCCCACCCACACCAACTGCCCATCGTACCTGCAACCGCGCACGCACAACCAAACTTGTATAGTTTGGCGGCCTAGACCGACCCTTGCCTTTCGAAAGTACACAGCCCCAAGCACAAAACGTCCCGCGGCTTGAATCCCAGAGGGCGGCGGCCCGCGCCACGCCCGCCTGCCCCCGCACGGAGACTGCAGTTTCGCGGTTCAAGCCCCAGCCAGGTTTTGCTCACGAGTTTGTAAGTTATTCAAACACAGGGGGGGCATCTATGTTGCGAACACAAAATAATCGCTAAATCTTACCGGATCACGCTGGGCAACATTGCCCCGAACAAGCAAACAGTGTTCAAACAGTTTCGAAAGCTTGGGTCCTCCATTGGGTACTCGGGCTTCAACCTTTATTGAGTGGGTATGTGGTAGGAATATGCTAGGGCACGCGGCCACATTGCAATTTTGATGAGTCTGCAAGTCCTGTTGAAGTTGATCCTTTGCCGTGTGCTGAGCTTGGGCGGCAACCTCTCCTCCTCGTCTCCCCTCTTGCCGTCTCGGGCTCGTGGTTTCCGAAGAGAGTCTCGGGCATGTTGCAGGGGTCTTGCCGCGCGGAGGGGGGCGCCAGCCAGAGCCTCCATTCTGAGTGCTTCCGTGCGGGGCCCTTTCTCCTTCTGAGGGGAGCTCCACCGTGCCCAGGAACTGCAAAGGCGCTATCGGGGGCCCGAACAGTGACGGGGGGGCCCCTTCCGCGCCCAGCAACAGGGAAGCGGGGGGGGTCCCGAGGACGAAGAGAAGGAAGAGGAGGAGGAGGAGGAGGAGGAGGAGGGAAGGAAGGGATGAAACAAACAAAGAACGTCGAAACGATCAGAGATCCGTGTCCCCAGTGCCCCCTAGACCTTTTGATCCAGACTGTCGTTTGGACAGCGAGGCCGAAGCCAGCCCCAGAAGTTGCGACCCAGATCTGGAACCTTATGTTCGCAGCGTTCCATTCGGAGAAGACCACGTTGGATTGTGCAGAGATCATTGATGCGCAATTCGTTCGATGCCAGTGGCGATGCGCATGCTTCATCCGCAGCTCGATTGTGGTTCAGTTCTTCGTGTGAGGACGGTTTTCGCCCATCACGCTCTGTCCAGGATTTCGAGTCTCATGCGCCGCGCTGCTCCGCGGAGAGGGGCCAAGGCCGCTGGCGCTCCCAAGCGCGGCAGGTCCAGTGGCGCGGCTGCTGCTGCGGCTGGCCCCGAGGACGGAGGCTCTCGCAGCAGGGAGCGCAGCCCAGGGTCGGAGGTTGAGGAGGAGCGTGGCCGCCAGCGCAGCGTCAAGGTATTGAAGACGGCCTCGGAGGGGCCAAAGGCGATTGGCAAGCTTCGCACCTGCGGCAGGGCCAGCTGCGGCAGGAAGGAGGCGACCGACTCCCGTTTTCCAGATGGTTCCATCGCTGCATGCGAACGGTGCTACTACCCATGGGATTGGGCGTGGAAGGATAAGCACACTGACTGGCCGAAGTTCTGCGTGAAGCTTTCCCAAGACAAGAGCCTCGACGACCAGTTTGAGAAGTCCGCAGAGTGCGCCGAGGACGCACGCAACAAGGCCTTCGAGGAGGAGTCCGTCGACGTGGTCTCCAAGTGCGGCTTCAGGATGGCCAACCACTACTGGGTTTGGAAGGAGGGCGCCTTCCGCTCCGCGTGCAATATTCCACCTGCCGTCGAGGTTTCTCATCTCAACCTCAGCGTGTCCTCGATCAAGTTCCCCAGTGGAGCTAAGGTGGAGGGCATCGTGACTGTCAATCCAGACATGCCCTTCGTTGACGTGGACAGGATCGACGAGCATTACGTCGAGTCACGGACGAGGGCGCTCTCGACGGATCGCCACGTTGTCAGGGAGCAGGCTCAACGCATCTTCAAGCAGGAGCTGACATATCTGAAGAACAAGATGCCGACTTGCATTCGCGGCAGGTCTATCCCCCCGACGGTGGAGTCGATCACGATGGAGGCCCAGGTGAAGCACGAGGGCAGCGGGAACAACGACGGGCACGTGCATGGTGGGGGCGGCAGCTCAGCCGCAGCCGCGGAGCCCCGAGGTGGCTGTCCTTCTCCGCCCGCTGAGGGTGCCGCGAGCCCCAAGGGGCCATGCGCCAGCGAACCGGATGGCCGCACTCCTGCACAGGGGTCCAGTCCAGCTGCCAACGGGTTGGCAAGCCTCGCCAAGGGGGCCTCGTCCCGACCAGCGCCGAGCCCTTCGCCGCCCGCCCCGCCGAGGCGCTCAGGCTCTGGGGCGACGCCAGCCGACGCAGGGGCTCGCTCTCGATCGCGGGGCTCCGTGCGGAGTCGCGTGACCGCGGCTCCGTCTGCGGTGGGTTCCCGCTGGGGCGCGGCTGCAGCTTCTCTCGATCATGCTGCCCCTTTGCGCGGCAAGGTGGTCAGGTCCCCAGCCTCGGGCGACGACGTGGCACGCATCGGGCAGTTGGAGGACGAGTGCGACATCCCCATGATCCTGGACGGGGAGAAGCTAGGCGATCGCGAGTACGCGCTTCGCCGTTTCAGCCCAAGGGTTCCCGACGCCAAGAGTCGGAAGCAGGTTCTCTCCGAGCTGATCGAAGCAGCCTCGCAGATGTCCACATCGAACCTTCACATGCTCAGAGACAGGCGCGAGATGAAGCAGATTAACCTCCAGAAGTTCAAGAAGGCCAAGGTTGATTTCCAGAGGTGCCCGAAGTGGTGCTTCGCGTGGGTTGCCGAAGAGCTGATGACGACGATCACGGCGCCCGACATCTGGGACATGATTGACCCTCACATTGATGGCGACCTCATCTTCGATCCTGCGGCCCCGAAGCTCGCGACAATCTACGTCCCTGACTTCGAGACGCTCTTGTCTACGGCGAAGGACCACGCGCTGAACTACTTGCTCCTCCCGCTCGTCCAGGGTGGGAGCACCGCCCTGGATGTCATCCAAGAGTTGAGGGTGATCCTCCGTGACAGGGTGAAGGACTCCAATAACGTGAAGGACGGCGTGCTGGCGTTCTACAAGAGCATTCAGGTTTGCATCGTCATACTTTCGGTTCTTTCTAGCCACGGCGTCGAGGCCATCTCCGACATCGAGGTGGACATGGAGGATTTCAGGATGATGTTGCACGGCGAGTTCAAGGAGTGGGCGTCGTTCTCCAGGGCCTTGGACGATAGCGAGTACTGGAAGGCTGAGAAGAGCGAGTGGCGAAGGGCAGCACAAGGTGATATGGCGGAGAAGGACAACATCGTAGCGATGCAGGCGCGTTTGGACGACCCCGAGAATATTGACACCCAGACCTTCACTGACTGCGTGACCTCCCTGACCAAGTGGCTGAAGTGCTGCAGGAGCGGCACGGTGGTTCCAGTTCTCCAGGCGTACCTCAAGGCAAATGAGGTGGCCCTCGACGCCGCTGCTTCAACTTCGATGGGGGAGAATGCCCAGAAACTCACCACATACACTTCCATGCTGCGGGACCTTGGGACACTCACCACATTCTTCGAGAAGGGCGAGGGCGATCCTAAAGTTGTCGATCTCCTGGGGCATCGAGTGAAGAACGTCTCCGAGAGGGTGGCCGAGCTTATCGAGCGCGCGACGTCGGCGGCGTCTTCCGATCAGGTCCTCCAGGCGCTGGCGAACTTCAGCGACTCGGGAGACAGAGACACTGCAGTTGAAGCCATCAGATCTTGCGTTGTAGCGCTGGGGCCCATCAAGTTCAACGATCCAGACCACGTCAACGTGATTGCCGACGCCGTGGAGTCGATTATCAGCTTCTACGTGCAGCCGCTCAAAGTGGATGACCAGACGCAAGTCTTGCAGTTCGACCTGGAGCAGCCTGTCGACCTGACGGAGCTCTGCTTGAAGGTGTGTGACTTGACGGACGCTTCGGAGCAAGCCGAACGTTTCGGTTCCATTTCCAGGCGCCTCTCCATGGTGTCATCGGTGTGGGACGTGGTCAAGGCGTTCCAGGGTCTCATGCGCTTGGGAACTCCTGCCGAGCAGGTCGCCCACGACAGCGGCTCCGCGTGCTACTACAACTTGCAGAGGGCCGTGAGCAACGCGGAGCGGTTCTGGGGTGGGACGGGCGCAGAGGACAGCAGTGTTGTGACAGGGGTCTTGACCGAAGGCCTCATCAAAGCGAACTTCGATGCCGCTCTCACTGTTGCACGGGCATCGGCGACTGATTACGAGAAGGCTGACATTGCCGCATGCTTCGAGGATGTGAATGCCATCCACACCAGTCTATGCGCGCTCGTGGGTTTCGGTGACACTGTGCGCGGGTGGAGAGCAGGCGTTGCAGATGGCGCCGGCTGGGCCACGGTCGAAGCTCACGCTCGCAAGACCTTGTTCTCAACGAAGGGTCTTGCCAACAAGGTGAAGGCCCAGACGACCAACCTCGAGAAGGGCATCGCGACCCTCGTGAGCACGACGGGCTCGTACAAGCAGCGCGGCCTCCATGACGAATGCACCTCAGAGTGGCCAGCTACCTTGAGGCTGGCGCACCTCACCCAGTTGGAGGCCGCTGCGATTCAGGTGATCAGGGCAACGCCTGGTCAGAGCAAGGAGGCGGCCATCATGGCCGTGCAGGGTGTGCTCGACTTACTTCCAGAGCACAATGTGGCGACGACGATGTTCCACGATGCAGTGCAGACGGAGATCAACAAGATCCTCAGGGCTTGAGCCGAGCAGTTTGGTTCGGTTGGAGCAACTCCGCTGTGGATTTCTGCAGCGTGGTGTTTAAAAATCAACGGACGAGCCAGACCCCAAATGAAGACCATGGGAACCCCAGAAGATAAATCGAGCCAGCCACTGAAACCCACGCACACGACACACCAAACGATGACAGAGGACAAAGGCAGAAAGGAGGGTCAGGATGAGAAAGAAGAAGAGGATGAGGACGAGGAGGGGGAGGAGGTGGGCGAGGAGGCCGATGACTAGGATGAGGAGGTGGGCCTGGAGGCAATGATGGAGCCAGGATGGGCGAGGACGTGGAGGAGGGGGAGGAGACCGAGGAGGAGGAGGAGGAGGAGGAGGAGGAGGAGCCGCCCCCCCCGCCGTCGACGGGCTGTCCGACGCCGTCGGCATCGTCGGCCAGAGGCGCGACCCTCGTGCCGCCACGGGGGGTGGGAAGGATGGGGACTGGTCTGAGGGGAGGAAAAGGCGACGAGGGAGAGGGGGAGGGAGGGGGAGGGCAGGAGGGGGGAGGAGTGAGGGAGAGGGAGGGAGGGAGAGGGAGGGGGAGAGGGGGAGGTGGAGGGAGGAGGAGGGAGGATGAGGAGGTTTTGCGTTGCCAACGGCGCTCCACGCTAAGTAACTGGCGTTAGCTCGCTGAGGCCAGCCCTCGGCTGGGGGCCCAACGGCCCTGGCGTTTAGCAGTGCCTCTGGGCCTGCCTCGGGAGCACGTCTATACTATCGGATAGTATAGATGTGGGCTCCGCCCGTTGTGTAACCATGAGGTTTCCATGGCAGACCCGCGCTAGCAATGCCATTGCGTGAGGGCCGTTGGGGGGGCCATCTAAACCTCATGGCGTGTCCGCCATCAAAGCCCATGGCGCGGGGGCCTATTGCCATAGCCTTAGAAAGTGCGTCTTAACACTCCGCGATGACGCAGTCCACGCCGAGACATATCTTGTTGAATCCCCTCCAGGGCAGCGCTCCTTGGTGGGGCACTCCTTGGCGAAGAACTCCTTGGCGCAGCACTTTTTGGTAAATCGCTGCGGGAAGCATGCCCCCCGCGATGAAGCGCGCGCTCTCGGTGCAGCGTGCCGCTGGGAAGCGCGCCTCCACCGAGCACGCCTTCGCGAATCACGCCGCGACGAAGCGCGCCACCCGGGAGCGCGCTTGTCCGACACGGCAATGCGACGCATAGTGCCCGCGAGAAATTCGGGAGCGCGACAGCGCACGCCGAGAAACCGCCAGGTAGATCTCGCGACGCTGTTGGCACAGTGGCACTATATGAAAACGTACGAGGGAAACCTGGAGCCCGTCCAGCAGGGTTGGTTCTCCACCCAACAGCGCGACGCGCGATGAGTGCGCACCTCGTGGAAGGAACCAGCGAGGATATTCGAAAATGGTAGTGGGAATTCCACCTCCGCCGTTGAAGCGACGCCGGTGTTGAAGGCGGATCGCGATGGTTTTCCTCTACGTGTGTTAGGAATACAGATGATGAGAAGCAGCACGTTGTTGGGCTCTGACGGGGAGCCGCGACCGCGCGGTGCAGCCGCAACGCTTGTCCAAGGGCCCCACGCATCTTGCTGTGTCTGCAACCCGCCGCGCCGCAGGTATGACGGCCGCCAGTTATTGGAGAGCGACTCCAGTCGGGCAGTGCGGGCCACAGGACGGACGTGGCAATGCGACTACAGAGATGATGGGGATGATTGTGATGCTGATGATGGTGATGGTGACGCTGTTGATGATGATGCTGATAATGCTGATGCTGATGCTGATAGTGCTGCTGATGGTAATGGTGATGATGACAGGTGTTGCTCCTCCTCCTCCTCCTCTTCCGAATCACTCCCTATCATCATGGGCACCTCGCCACCGTCATCTGCGTACCCACCATCACCACCACCGTCAATCACCATCGCCAGCATCATAATCATCAGCGCCGTCCTCGCCATCACCACACTCATCATGACGATCATAAACATCATCATCAGCATCATCATCACCATCAGCATCGTCATCATCATCGTCATCAGCATCAGCATCATCATCATCATCATCATCATCATCTTTATCATCATCAGCACACACCTCACCAGCGTCATCCCCATCATCGCCATCATGATCATCACCCGCACCACCGTCATCATCACCATCTGCTTCATCACCGTCACCATCATCACCATAAACTTGATCACCATCAACATGGTCACCACTATGGCCAGTATCACCACCATCACATAATCACCAGAATCTTCGTCACTGTCATCGTCATCGGTATCGTTATCCTCATCACCATTATCATCATCAGCATTATCGAAGTGGAGGAGGAGGAGGAAATGGGACAGGAGGAGGAGGGGGAAGAGGAGGAGGAAGAGGAGGAGGAGGAATGGGTGGAGAGTGGGGGAGGATGAGAAGGGACGGGGGGAAGAGGAACATGAGGAGGGGTAGGAGGAGCCCGGGGGGTCTTGGGTCGCTTCGGGAACTTCTGGGCCATCATTCAGGCCCTCCTTGTTGGGTCGAATTCATGAAGCGCTGCAGCTATGAACTAAGCTCGTTGGCTTTCGGATTTGTTTGTTGCCTCTCATGTTCGAGGCCGTGTCCCAAACTCCTTAGACATCTTTCTAAACGTGCATGTGCCCTCTTTGGTTCAATCTTGAACATGTCGGATATGCTGGGGGCCGCCTGGGTGGCGGCGGGGCGCTCAGGGAACGTCAGGAGGGGCGGGCGATGCTGGTGAGGAAACGCCGTTAAGGATGGAACGTTTGGGGAAGCAGCACTCCAACCAAACAGCACTACCTGGCCACGTGCCAAAGACGGCGCGGTATCATATGGGGCCACAGTGGCAATTGCTCATTGCGACCAGACCAATTCGGCCTGGAAGCCAGCGCCCTTTCCTGTTTGTTTCAAGCAGCCGTGCTTGCACATGCTGTCTTTCATGAGACATACGTTAACCACAGGCAGCACCGTCGCTGCTGCAAACCAGCTTTCAGTTGTTTCCGCTTCCTTGGGCCACTCCCTGGTACCTCCTGAGTTCACGCGCTCCTGAGTTTATGGATTTGCTTCGCTCATTCCGACGGTCCGCTTCGCATCATTGTGGCTGCGTGATGGTGTGCTCATGCCCTGGGGGAACGGTAGGGCAGGGGGGAATTCGAGGAGATCTTTGGATATGTGGCTTTCACCCTGTCGAAGAACGCCGATCGATTGCCCCATAGGGCGCCAAGTTGGCTCAAGAGAGCTCCAGTAGAGTTTCGAGACGTACCTGGTTTGTGGGTCAGAGTCCTCATGGATGTTTCTTTTGGTGTCATCGGAGGGCTCTCAGAGGAACGCTGGGCCTGATTGAGCTGCGAAACCATGCCCGGATATCGCGCCAGTTCACGTTGGAACAAGAGCCAGGTTCGACAGTCTGCCCGAAAAGACAGCGGCCTGGTTGGATGACATGCTTGCAGACGGGAGCTGGGAAAGCGGGATCTTGACCTGTCGGCGGGGGAATTCACTGCAACCGAGGTGCGCGAGGTGCTCGGTAAGCTCCGAACAGGGAAAGCAGCCGGACCGGACGACGTCCCGCCAGACTTCTGGAAAATTCTTCGCGGAAGCGATGATGCTTGTTCCGTTATCTTGGATCTGCTGAACCACTGCTAGCGGCAGAAGCAGATGCCGCAGACGTGGCGGCACAGCCGGGTCAGCGCAATCTACAAGAAAGGGGACGAGTCTTTGCCGGCCAACTACCGGCCCATGTCGTTGTTGGCGGTTAGCTGCAAGATCTTGGCAGCGCTTCTGCTGGCCAGAATCGCAGATGGTGGCGCCGAGGAGCGCCTTCGGCCGGGTCAGTTTGGGTTTCGGAAAAAAACGGAGCGCCAGGGATGCCGTCTTCATTATGCACAGGCACATCGAGCAGGTGTGGGCCGGGAAAGACAGCAAACTCTCCGCCGTCTTGCTAGATTCGTCCAAGGCGTTAGAGCGGGTGGACCCCTCCGCGCTGCTGATTGCCCTTGACCGGTTTGGCTTAACCGACCCGTACATCCAGATGATCGCTGCCGTATACGACGGGCGCACGTTCGAGGTGAAGGACGAGTATGGTTGCAGCAAACGGCACGCGCAGTGCTCTGGCATCGCGCAGGGATGTCCCCTGAGCACGTATTCGTTCATCATCATGCTGAGCGTACTGATGGAGAATGTCGAGCAAGACGTCATCTCGCAGTTTGGGCACTCGCGCGCTGATGCCTTCAGCGCCGACGTGGCGTGCGCCGACGACACGGCGCTGGTGTCGAATACCTGGACAGGCTGATCTTCAGAGCTCGCATGTACGGTCTGGAGCTCAACTGGGACAAGGCCGTGCATTTGCGCATCCGGCACAATGTGGACATCCACACGCCGCAGGGCACGCCCCTCAATACGGTCACATGGATGGTCTACATGGGCAGCCTCCTCCGGGCCGACGGGAAAACGGGATCATCAGTTGCCCGACGCGTAGGTGAAGCCCGCGCGTCTTCCGATGCGCTGCAAGCCGTTTGGAGGTACGCCAACATAAGTAGGGCCAGAAAAAGGCATTTTTGTTTAATGCGTGCGTTGTGTCAAAACTCACTTGCAGCCTCGAAACACTTTGTCTGCGCGCGGCAGACCGAGTGAAGATCGACGCGTTTCAAGCTCAGTGTCTACGTCATATTTTACCATTGCACATTCGATGATTTATCATGTTAGCAACTCAGAGGCCCGGCGCAGAGCAAACCAGCAATGTTTAAACCAGCGTTTGCTCGCCAGGCAGCTGTTCTACTATGGGGAACTTTCCGCCCTGCCCAACGAATCGCTGCCTCGCCAGAGTGTCTTCCAGAGCGGGACTTCTCGTCTCCTCGACCCTGGGAGACGCCGCAAAGGGCGTCCCAGGTTACAGTGGGCTTCGGTAGTGCACGCGCACGCGGTGACAATAGCAACGTGCATGCACGGCGGGAGGCCGTCCGACAAACGATCGGGCAGAACACTTTCAATCAACGAGCATGGAAAGAAGCAGTGTTGAGGTGCTGTTCGAATTCAACTGGCCGGCCGTCATTCTGTACAATTTCATATCACAAGTTTTAGGGGACATCTTACTCTGAATTGTACCCCGGTTTCCCCCGCCCGCCTGCCTTCCAGGTGGTGTCGCCGTCCCCTCGTCCGCCGTCCTGCGTTGTCGTTCCCTCCTCTGCCTCCTGCTGCCGCTGCTCTCCCGGGTCGTCCACCGAATGGGGTCTCTGGCGGGTCGGGCATAGAAGCGTAGATTTTTAGAGAATCCTTGCGCATGGAGCCAGAGCCGGCGACGATGGTTACGCCTTGCCCCTCGCATTGTCGACGCCGGCGTGCTGTTCTACATACTCATGCATGCGATCTGCAACCAATGTGCCTTTTAGGCACGGTTCACCTGACCTGGAGGGCTCTCGGGAGCCTTTGGGGAGCAGGTTTGATGCTTCTGGGGAGCCTCTTGGCGGGTTTTGGGGGACCTCTTGGGAGTCCAGTTGGGGGGTTTGGGGCTCTCTTGGGGCCTTTTGTGGGCCTTTTGGGGGTCTCTTGGGGGCCTCTGGGGGCTTCCTGGGCGCCTCGTGGGGTTTACAGCTAGAAATGTCCGCTGGGGGTCCCCTCTGTGGGCCACCTCTTGGGGCCATCTTGGGCCGTCTTGGAGGCCTGCTGGACCGTTGTAGGGTCATCTTGGGCACTTAGGGGCTTCTTGGAAGCTTTTTGGTTCGTCTTGGAACGACCTTGGAGCCTCTTGGGCCGTCCAGGGCGTTCGGCAGCGAAAAACAAATGCGTGTCAGAGGTGATCCCGAGGTGAGCAGAAAGAAGTGTTTCCAGTCCTCCACCCATTCCTCGCCATCGGGTTCGCCCCTGTCGTCGTCTTGTCTCCCCCGTGTGCCCGCGCCTGGGAGTTGTCCGAGATGCCCTCTCAACGCGCATGGGCCGAGGCCGCTGCTGTCTTTTCCGGTTCCCCCCCTTGAGTCACCAGCTGCACCGTGTGCTGACATTGTGCGTCAAATGTGTGAGTGTAGAGGGGTAGTGGGAACGCGCATCTATCGGAACCGCAAAGGAGAAGGCAACGCCTCCAGCAAGACGCGGTACGGAAAACATTCATCCACACAGACAGTTTGATAGCATTCTTCGATATGCCATGTGATGAGCCGTAGGGTGACTTGTGGCATCCAGCAGCTAGGTGCACTCTTCCTGCTTACGATTCGCATTCGGCTTTGTTCTGGATTGAAGCAAAGTCGACACTCTCATGCATTGTATGACATTTGATGGTCAAAAAGGCGAGTCTGATGATGTTGTTCAAGATGCGTGTTCACCAGCGGCAGTGCGGGAACCAAACGTTGGAACGTCCAGTGCTGATGTTGTTGCACCGGGGAATCGTTGCCCCATTGCCGGCCAAAGTCTCTCCAGGGCAAGCGGTTGCGTGCGTTGCAGTTTGGTGGTAGGATTATGGTGTTTGTAAGGGAGTCTATGTTGTCCGCTTGGCTCGGAAGTGCCCGCGAGGACAGACAAGAGCGTGCAGATTCTATCAATGCTGTTTGAACACGTGGCGCAGGCGTCGGCCCAAGTGCGATTTGAGCGGTCGACAGGCGTCGAATGGGAAATAATTCTCTCGCATGCATTGTGGGCGCGGCGGCGCTCGATGTGAAGGCTCTCGCGTGCGCCCTCCATGCATCAGTGAGCTTCCCAAGCGCCCGTGCGACAGTGAGGGTTGTTATCCGTAAGGGCTTCGCCCCATGCCGCCGGCCCCCTGTCTCGGATAATGGGAGATGCAACAGCTAAATCATGAGGTCTGGGCTCCGCTGTGGAGCAGTGTCGGGGCCTGTTTGTTCTTCGACCCTGACCCTACGGATCTGCGTCACGGGCGCCACCGAATTTCAGAAATGTAGCAACTGTCCTCTGTCTTTGCACCCTGACCCCGCCGATCTGCATGAGGGGTGCCGCCGAATTTCAGACATGTGGCAAATCCCTTATGTTTCTGGACCCTGACCCTGCCGATCTGCGTGAGGGGTGCCGCCGAATTTTCGAAATGTGGCCAGTCCCTTGTGTTTTTGGACCCTGACCCTGCCGATCTGGGGTGCTACCAGATTTCACAAATGTGGCAAATCCCTTGTGTTTTTGGACCCTTACCTCGCCGATCTGCATGAGGTGTGCCGCCGAATGTCAGAAATGTTGCAAATCCTTTGTGTTTTTGGACCCTGACCCCGCCGATTTGCATGAGGGGTATCACCGAATATCAGAAACGTGTCAAATCCCCTGTGTTTTTTGGACCCTGACCCTGCCGATCTGCGTGAGGGGTGCCACCGGATTTTCGAAATGTGGCCAATCCCCTGTGTTTTTGGATCCTGACCCCGCCGATCTGCGTGAGGGGTGTAAATTTTTACTTGAGCACACGCTCAGGGCGTGGCTCAGGGCGTGGTAAAAATACCCGTTTTGGGCCTCCCCCCCTCGCGCGGTCCATCAACAAGGAACAGTAAGCAGCAAGAAGTCAACAAGGAACAGTAAGCAGCAAGAAGCAGAACTGTAACAGTGGAAACTGGAAGCTGCAACCGGTACAGGAAACTGCGAACCCTAGGCCTACAGCCTGGTGGCCCCACAAGGGGGCCGGCGGATCCGGGGCAGCACGTGTAAGCCGAAGCAGAAAAGGACCTGGACGTGCGCTCGCTGCAGAGGTAAGTCTGAACCGCCTGCCCTTCCATGGGACCGCTCCTCCGGGAGCTGGCACGCGGGCTCCTGCCCTGTCCTGCCCCCTCTCCCCGATCGAGCCGCCCGCCCGCTGTGGAAGGGCAGGCCCCAGAGTGGGGCGCCCCTGTCGGTGGGGGCCACCGACGTGCCCTCGAGGCCAGCTCCCTTTTTCTCCGCCTCCCCCCTCCTCCTCCTCCTCCTCCTCCTCCTCCTCCTCCTCCTTCTGGAGTTGTCTGACGAACTGGTCGCCCGCGTCGCGGTCAACCGAGCTCTTGCCGAAGAAAGGGACTCCAAATAATCGCCCCATGGCGAGGCGCGCTTGAATTCAGGTTACGAGTGGTTCATGTTGACGAGAGATGCAGTGTGGGGCGCGTTAACCGTCGTGCCACCGTTCCACCGCCACCGCCCCCGCTCGACGCCCTGCTGCCTCCTGCTGCCCTCCTGTCGCCTCCTGATGCCTTTTGCTGCTCTGCTGCGCATCGGTCGTCCTGCTGCCGTCTCCTGCTGCCTCAGCTGCCTCCTGCTGCCTTTGCTGGCTTCCAAACGCGCCCCCGTCCCGGGCGCAGGAGGGGCTCAGCGTCTCGCCCAGACGAGCTGACGGTGGCCGAGCCCAGCCAGGCGGCGAGGGTTTTTTTCCCAACCATCCCGTGGTGTTGGGTATTCGTTTTGAAAGGACAGCGCCCCGCGTCACTCCTCCTCCTCTCCTCCCCCTCTTCCCTCCTCCCTCTCCCCCCTCCTCCCTCCTCCATGCGTTTCACCCATCCAGTACAGCGCTTCGTGGCCCCACAGGGAGCTCCGCCCTATGCCCCAGTGGGAGTGGCCACATGCGCCCACCACACCCAGTACAGCGTTTCGTGGCCCCACAAGGAACTTCACCCAAAGCACCAGTGGGGGATGGCCACATGCGTCCGCCACACCCAGTACAGCGTTTCGTGGCCCAACAGGGAGCTCCACGTAAGGCCCCAGTGGGGATGGCCTCATGCGTCCGCCAAACCAAGTTCAGCGTTTCGCGGCCCCACAGGGCGCTCCACCTGCGGCCCCGGTGGGGGTGGCCTGCGGCCCCGGTGGTGGTGGCCACATGCGTCCGCCACACCAAGTACAGCGTTTCGTGGCCACATAGGGTGTCCCACGTAAGACCCCAGTGGAGGTGGCCACATGCGTCCGCCATACCCAGCACAGCGTTTCGTGGCCACATAGGGCGCTCCGCCCAAGGCCCCAGTGGGGTTGGCCACATGCGTCCGCCACACCCAGTACAGTGTTTCGTGGCCCCATAAGGAGCTCCACGTAAGGCCCCAGTGGGGTTGGCCACATGCGACCGCCACACCCAGTAGCGCTTCGTGGTCCCATATGGAGCTCCACGTAAGGCCCCAGAGGGGGTGGCCACATGCGTCCGCCACACCCATTACAGCGTTTCGTGGCCCCATAGGGAGCTCCACGTAGGCCCCAGTGGGGATTGCCACATGCGTCCCCCACACCCAATACAGCGTTTCGTGGCCCCATAGGGCGCTCCGCGCAAGGCCCCAGTGGGGGTGGCCACATGCGTCCGCCACACCCAGTACAGTGTTTCGTGGCCCCATAAGGAGCTCCACGTAAGGCCCCAGTGGGGGTGGCCACATGCGTCCGCCATACCCAGCACAGCGTTTCGTGGCCACATAGGGCGCTCCGCCCAAGGCCCCAGTGGGGGTGGCCACATGCGTCCGCCACACCCAGTACAGCGTTTCGTGGTCCCATAGGGAGTTCCACGCAATGCCTCAGTGGGGGTGGCCACATGCGTCCGCCACACCCACTACAGCGTTTCGTGGCCTCATCGGGAGCTCCACCCAAGACCCCAGTGGCACCATTGATTGGGAACTCAACCGAGCCCCAGTGGCACCGCGCGCATGTGTCCCCCCACCCGGTACAGCGTTTCGTGGCCCCGTAGGGAGCTCCAGTGGCCACCGAAGGCCCCAGTGGCAACGCCCGCATGCGTCCCCTCCTCCTGTGGCCCCCATAAGGAGCTCCACCGAAGGTCCCAGTGGCACCGCCCGCGTGCGTCGGCCACCACCTAGTGCAGCGTTTCGTGGCCCCGTAGGGAGCTCCACAGAAAGACCCCAGCGGCACCGCCCGCATGCGTTTCCCCCAACCAATACAGCGTTTCGTGGCCTCATCGGGAGCTCCAGCGAGGGGCACCGCCCGCATGCGTCAGCCACATCCAGGATAGCGTTTCGTGGCCCATGGGGAGCCCCACCGAAGGCCCCACATGCGTTTCCCCCACCCATTACGGCACGTCCCTCACGCGTTTCGTGGCCCCATAGGGAGTTCCACCGAAAGCGGCACCCACAACGCGTTACTCACAGCTGCAAATGGTTGGGTCCTTCGCCAGGATGATTTTTGGTGGGCGTCAGTTCAGCACCGCCGCCGATCCCACCGATCTTAGCCATGCGAACCCTGGGACCTTCGAGGGGTCCCGCGGTTTGGTCGGTTCGGCTCCCTCGCATTCGGTGGTTATCGGGTTTTGGAGTCCGTTCGGTCGGTCTTCGATTGGGCTGTCGCCGTGGGCGGTGCTGCCGGCGTGGGTGCACATTTGCCCTCCAGGGCCGGCCATGGAGGCCCTCGTCGCCACTGCCGTGGTCGGCTCGAGAGAGCGTCGAGCATGGTGCCCAGGGCAGGGCCTCGAGAGAGCGGCGAGCATCGGGCCCAGGGGAGGGCCCTGGAGGCCGCTCGTGCAGTGGGTTCTGGTGGGGCAAGCCGAGGCTATCGCTTCAGGGGCGCAATCAGCAAGCTGCGTCGCTCAGCTTTTCCAGGGAAGTAGACGGCGGCAGCCCAGGGGTGCAAACCATACACATTAGTAGTAATGTTAATATGATTCCGGAGAAAAAACCCAATCATGATCTTTTCAGGGCTGTAGGGCTATAGGGCTTTAGGGCTCTAGGGCTATATGGGCTATCGGGCTATTTGGTTTTATTGTGCTATTGGGTTTTTATTTGGCTATTGGGCTATTGGGCTATAGGGCTACAAGGCTATAGGGCTATATGGCTATGGGGCTATAGGGCTATAGGGCTACAGGGCTATAGGGCTATTGGTCTATGTGGCTATATGGCTGTAGGGCTATAGGGCTATGTGACTGTATGGCTAGAGGGCGATAGAGCACCTGGGTCCCTGGGCACCCCCGGGAGCGTCCGGGCACCCCACTTAGAGACTCGTGCTACTTATGCTACTTGCACCCTGCATATAGATGGGTGTAATATACTTATAGCTAAGTCTAAGTATCGTAAGTATCGTAACTGTTCGTCATGTACCGTAAGTATGTGTCTTGTCGCATAACTATACTTACGATACTTATAACTATTTTTCTGATTTGGAGAGGGGGCTACAATACTTAGTAAGAAGGTATAAGTTACTTACCATATATGAGAATCAACAAACATAAGTAGCATAGACGTAACTTGTAAGTAACTTAGCTTGCGAGAGAAGGAGGGAGGGAGGGAGGGGGGAGGAGGAGCAGGAGGAGGAGGAGGAGGAGGAGGAGGGGGAGGGGGAAGGAGGAGCAGCAGGAGGAAAGGGAGGGGCTGACATGCCCCCAGGCACGCCCTGTTTCACGGCTCTATGATCATCTTCTGACACGGCCCCAGACGTGCCCTCGCGCCATATGCGTTGCGCTGCACGCGCACGGCAATTCCTCAACGTCTGTTTGGCCCTCGAAGAGGTTCCAGTGTACGAACCGCGTCGGCATGTGAAGCGATGCGATGCGGTGCCGTACTATGCAAACCATCGCACAACATAGCAAGGCACATCTTGCCAACGCCTATGATATCTTTGCTCACCAGCATTGCGCATGCGGAATTGACATCGGAGGTTGGGGGGTGAGATCGCAGTGAAACGGAGAGCCCCCCGCTGGGAAATCGGTTTCGGTGTCGTGTCGTTCGTGTTGGCGAGGCGAAGCTGCGTGGGCGGGCGAGAGAATGATCCCGCCCTGGCTAGGACGAGACCTGGTCAATGCCCCTCCTCCCTTGGTTGGCCATCGGCGGCCTGGGGGCGTCCCGCTGGCGTCGCGTGGTGTCCCACGGTGTCCCGTGGCGCGATGCCCCGCGGGGTCTTGTGGTGGCCCGAGGAGGTCGATCGTGAGATCGATTGCGAGATCGATTGCGTGAGATTGACAGTGAGATCGGTAGTGATATCGATAGGGAGATCGAAAGGGAGATCGAAAGTGAGATCGACGGTGAGGTCGGTAGATGGTGATATCGATAGATAGAGGGAGATCGATGGTGGAGTCGATAGTGATTTTTTTCCTCCGTGGTGTCTCGTGGTGTTTTGTGGCCTTGTATGTTCCTTGGCGTCTCGCGGTGTCTCGTTTCGATAAGTCGATAGTTGGACTGGCGATGGCGGTGGTGGCGGCCTTGGGGCCTTCGATGGCGGTGGTGACGCAATCACCGATTGTTAGTGACATTGTTAGATAAATAGTGGGATCCACTGCGAGATCGAGATTGTGATCGCTATGCAGATCGTGGGATCGATAGCGCGGCAGATGTGAGACCCATGGATCGTGAGACTGGTATATAGATAGTGAGTCGCGATTGTCTCATTTATTTGCCTCAGCAGTGTCTTCAGATGCTCCGTCCGATGGTGTTTCGATGGTGTCCCGATGCTGTCCCGATGCTGCCCCAGTGCTGCCCCAGTGGTCTCACCAGCGTCGTCATCACGCATCGTCGCCGACTGGTGAGCGTATCACCCGCATCATCATCACCACAATCGTCGCAGTTGCCACCAGTTGCCCCCACCCCCACGACCTCTTTATCATCCGAATGTTTGTCGTATAGGTATCATAGTATCGGGAATCATTGCATTGGGTGATTCTGTGATGCCACTGCGTAGCATGTCATAGGTTACCCTTGTCTATGATAGCACAACGCTGCTTCGCATGGCATGATACATCATGCATCGGAAACCAAAGCGTGGCGATGAGAGGCGCCCACATTACGAATGACGAGTCTGGTAGCTGATCTCAGAAAGTGTTTTAAGTATGATCTGTTCGGGCAGGAATTATCGGGGAAGAAGGTGATATCCGACTCGCATCATGAGCGGAACGCTGTTTATGTGCCTTCGGCGGGAGCTTGCCGCAAGCCCACGGAAGCTGTCGGAAGCAAGACAGGGTCAGACGTTCGTGCAAGCAGGGCGTGCGTGCAGCGCAAAGCGTGGCGGAAGTAGATGTAGACCGCCGTAGAGAGGAGAACGAAGGCGAGCCCAGGATTATCTGCAGCCGGCCCTACTCATCGCAATAGCTTGCATTGTTGCCCAGAATTCGATTCAACTCAGTCGTGCCGCCCCTCTTATCAAGTCTCCTCCCTCACTTGTGCCACAGTCCCCCAATTCGTTCCCAGTGCCTCCTCCCCTGCCTCTCCCTTTCAGGCAGCCTCAGGATACCAAAAACCTCATGCCTGAGCCCTCTCAGCGCTTTGCTGAACGGTGTAAGGAATGACCACGGCGCCGATTTATTCTCCAGGCTCCCCAGCATTCAAAGATCCGTGGTATATTCTTGCTCGCTTTCATCAGCACCCTGCCTTCGTCTTACCCTACTTTTCTCTCTCTCTCTCTCTCTCTCCATCTCTCGCCCTTCCCCCCTTATGTCATCCCCTCTCAGGTGCCAGGGACTGGAGAGACTCCACCAAAGGGCGCAGGTCGAACGGCCAAGACTGGCGCCCAGGCAAGGGCGATAGAGAAGGACCTCGCCCTCCTGCCCCAATCTCTCTCTCTCTCTCTCTCTCTCTTCTCCTCCTCCTCCTCCTCCTCCTCCTCCTCCTCCTCCTCCTCCTCCTCCTCGCTGCTGTTGCCCTCCGTCCTGCTGCTGCTCCTCCTCTTATGCCTGTAAACAAACGCTTCTCCCGCTTTGGCGCTGTGTTGCGCTGCATCTGGCACGGTGGGCGGCCAATCACGTGCCGCAGGGGTCCGAGTTGAACGCAACCGAGGAAACGAGCGCGTGCCACACTCCTGTGCGCAACGGCGCCCTGTGCGAGCAGCACGGGCGGGTGGCACGAGGAGGGCACCACCTCGGAACCGATCGTAATTCGATGGGGAGTCGGGGGGCAAACCCAGCTGGATGCTCACATTTCCTTCTTCCAAGGGCCGTTCAGCAGAAGTTCTTGTCTGACCCCACCTTTGACCCTACCCTGCCTTTCGCTTCCACCGAGGTCACAGGGGTGGTCGCCAGTCACTCGGGCCACCCTCTGCAGGAAGGCTTCAGAGATCGGACCTCCTGCAAGAGCAGGGGGCTCCGTGTGCGACGAGAGCACGATCGCTGGTGGCGCCAGGACGCGCTGTCTCTTGCCTCACTCGGGTGCTGGCGTTATGCCCCCCCGTCCGCTTCTCAGTAGTCGTTAAGAACCTACAGCGAATTGTCGCACCCCGCCGACTTTACTGAGCATTCACTGCTGCATCCTGCTCAGATTTCGCGTCCGACCCCCTGCCTGGCAGGTTGATATTGTACTGCCGCATCTCGCTCATTTCGTCCTGATATTACCGTTTCTTCACGCGCTGCCTTCGCTGATGGAGTTTCGAGTATGTACAACAGCGCTTTGACTGCGTCTGACGACAGTTGCGATGCTTTTGCGCCGTAGTCCACGTTTCGTATGAGAGTCGGAGATGTTCCTCGATCTTCGATACTTTGCCAACGCGTAACTGCATTCGGGTGATGAGTAAATTTCTAATGATCATGGAATCTGTGCAGTAGTCCCCGTGGTCGCCGGTGTGATCGTGTCACGGCGCAGGCCATGCTCTCGGCCCGTTTGGGCGAATTAGTTTGTGTGTCAAGTTCGGGGGGAAGGATACCGTTGTCGCATCTGCCGAGGGGCCAGAGATCCTCCTCTTGCACATCCAGCGAGGTTCACCAAGTGCGAAGCAGTCCGCCCAGCGTCTGACAGCATTCGTCGGCAAGTGGATCTCGACAGGCTCTGGCCTGCGTATTGTCCGTATGTGTTTATATTGTACGGTCTCTGCGCGCGACGTGCATTTTGTGTTCCACGGCCATTTGATATCTTGCGCTCATGGTCGCGCCTATTAAGCCACTTGAACAGGAAGAAGGCCTGATCACAGAGTTGCAGGAGCACCGAGAGGGGAGACGAGAGGCCACAGGAAAGTGTCAGCTTGACGGCATCTTCTCATAGAGGTTGGCCTTGGTCATCCCAAGATGCAAAAACAGCTGTTCGAATGCGAATGGAGTCTACGAGTTTCTGTGGCCTCGTACGAGGTGAGACACCCACTCACGTAGTGTGCTCTGGCAGACCCGAGCCCTCTTCGGAACCTCGTGGGCACTTTTTCGAAGCATGTTGGGGGATTTCTTGGGGAGTGGCGGGGGGGCGTCAGGGGGGGGGCACCGGATCGTGGTGGGGCGGTCCTGGAAGGACCAAAGATCTGTTGACGGTTTGCTTCTTGATATCACAGATATCAAGAAGCAAACCGTTGGCCCGAGGGTTACTAACGACCCTAGTTTTGGAGGGGTACCTTTGGCTCTCGACCTTGAGATGCTCGTTGTGTTGGTTATCTTCATGGGGCCCTTCGCCTTCAGGGAACGAGCTCACGTTTTTGCCCCACGTTGTTCTGGTCACACTGTGGCTGTACAGCTTCCACGACTACATACGCATTGTGTCGTGAAGACTGGGAGGGAATTCAAAGTAAAAACCCTAGCGCCCGTCCTCTCTGTGGCTTGCACGAGGTCAGACGTGATCAGGAGCGTCCGATGCACACAGTGTCACGCAGTCGTGAATCATCCCTCTTCCTTATCATTTCGTTCCCTTTTCCTTAGCCTTTTCCTCTTTCTTCTCCTCCTCCTTCTCCTCCTCCTTCTCCTGACCTGATCTTTAGAAGACCTGCATTTCTGCTTTTGGTAGTGCAGAAGAGGGCCGTCCGCACCCTTCATGGCTCAAGCTCATCATGCAGCCGAGTCCCAGTGTCTCTGCCGTCAAAGCCTGGCTGGCAGCTTGGACGGCCCAATCGGATGTGGACCGCCTCTGGTGGCCAGAGGTCTCGGGGTGCCCTCGGTGCCCCGACCTGCACTGCGCGGACGTACCCGCGTGCCCGACGCTCCAGTGCCCTGCGGCGCCGACGGTGCACTGCGCGCCCGCGGACTGCCCAGCGCCGCCCGAGGCCCCCCCGGAGGGGAGGCCGCGCCGGCGCCCCCGAGCGGCTCGGACGGCTGGAGCGCCCTGGGGTGGGCGGCGCGGTTGGTGCTGGACGTGTTCGGGGGGAGCCTGGGCGTCGTGGTTCACGGTGTCCTCGTGGTGCTCGGGTTCGCTGCTCGTTCGTGCTGGGGGTTCGTACTGAGCCAGAGCCAGCGACTTCGCCTTGCCCTTCGAGATGGCGCTGGTCCAAGTGCAGGAGTGGGCCTGCGTCCAGTACGCGGGGCCACTGTTCCACCAATGCCTGGTGCTGGGAGTCTTGGCGAGTACTCCATCGGCAGCGATTGAGGTCGTGGCCGCGACGCCCGACGGAGACGTTTACTGCGAGGTGTACGGGGGGGACGGACCCGAACGTAACGGCAGTTCGATGGAGCGACTCTCGCCGGCCACCGCCTCCAGGAGTGCCGTGGACTCCTATCTGTTCCGCCGGGACGTGACGCCGGCCGAGCTCCAAGAGTTCCACAGGCTGGCGAGGCTCGCCGCCCGGGACGACTTCGTGCTGCGAGATTGGCGGAACGGAGGTCCTTGCGTGGAGCCGGCTGGAGGCACGCTGCTGCCGCTGGTGGCCGAGGCCGGGAGGGGCCCTCTCGCCGCCCCCCGCTTCCCTGGTCAAGGAGGGGGGGCCCCGCCCAGTGGGCGGCAGAGACCTCTTCGGGGCGGCTTCCCGCGCGGGCGCGCCCGTGGCCGCCGGCGCTGGGGCCGCTGTCGGGGCGCCTGCTTGCGGAGCTGGATCGCAGACCGCCCCCCCGCCGCGAGCCGACGAGCTGGCGTGGGTCGTCGCCGAGACTCGGCGCGGACACGAGCGAAGGATGGTCGTCTTTCCTGGGGCGGGGGCGCCGAGTCTCGGAGATGCTTGCTGGGCTCTACCAGGTACCTGTAGCGACCCCTGGCCCGCAAGGGCCCGCGGCGGTGCTGGTCAGGAGGGCGCTGTTCCATGAGAGGGACAAGTTCATGCGGAGTGAGAGCGCCGCCGACGCCAGGATCATGCCGATCGAGGTGGTCGGAGACAGACGCCAGCGGAGGCCACGGAGGCAGATGGTCGAGCTTGGCATCGTGACCGCCTTCTCTGAGTGGCCGATCCAGGGCCCCAGGGCCGCAGAGCGGGCAATGCTGTTCCTCGATCGACGCGGAGGCGGACCTGGAGATCATCGCGCGTGGTGGCGCCAGGCGAACCGACTTCAACGGGGAGACAGGGGGGTCGAGGTCCGCGAGAACGGGCTGCGGGCGTTTGAGATGGCCGCGAGCTTCGACGTCCTGGAGATCGCCAACTGCGCGTGCCTTCAGATCATTGCGAGTGAGTGCCATCTTGTTGAGCGCGCGTGTTCTCGTGAACATCTTGCGGGGGCCACGGCGGCGGGGCTGAGGAGGGCGGGGGCGGGGGCGGCAGCGAGAATATCCAAGGGAAAGGCCGAGGCCGTGCTGGGCACCTGGACAAGAGCGACGTGCTCATGGAGCGACATCGTGAAGCAGGTGAAGTGATGGCGTCGCCCGACTTCGAGAGGGGCGCGAGCGCGCTGACGCAGGTGCGGAAGGCTCGCGAAAAACGCCGCGCACTTGGCAATGGTGCTGGATGGGCGCCCGCCTGGTCTTGAGCCTGGGCCCTGCGGGGACCTCGGCAGGATTCGCTGGCTGCGACGGTGGTGCTCGCCGTCGACAGCGAGGCCTTTTTCTTATCCCTCTTCTGGGAGATGTCGACCCCCGTGGGCGGCCTCCCCCCCGCGCATGTCGCGCGACGCGTCGTCGGGCGCTGCGGCGGGCCGCCGTGGATTCAGCCGCCGACGAGGTGACTGGCGCCCTGAACGATCTACGCAGGGCGTTGGACCGCGGGCCCCCCCCGCGCGCCCTCGAGGTCCACGTCGGCGCAGGGGCTCGTTTTGGATCACCCCCGACAGCGCGCGGTTGATAAAGGGGCCGCTTGCCGACGACCTCCACGGGCCAGGGGCCTTCGACGAGCTTCGGTCCAAGCTGGCCCGCGACGGTTCTGAGTCGCGGCTCGCGCCTCTTCGCGCTGAACTTCTCGACCAACCTCCGCCTGGCCTCCGTCGCGCGACTCGGGGAGTGGCCGCTGGTCTTGCGGGCAAGTCGATCGAGGAGGGGCTTCTAGACGATGGTTCCCATCGTGGAGGGGGAGGCAATCGTGAAGCTCCTGGGCCCGCGTCGGGTCCGCGCCGATCCCGCCCTGCGCAGTCGCGAGATTTGCGCGGGGTTCAGAGAGCGGATGCGCGCCGCTAGTCTCCCCGGCTTTCGTCGCTCCGCGCGGCGACGAGTCGGGCGCCTCAGTGCGCGGAAGAAGTTGGGGGCTCAACGGCTTGCGATCGACGCCCGCGTCGCGAACTGTTTGTTCGAGGGCCCCGATCCCGCGCAGCTGGCGAGCGGGGCTTGCTTCGCTGACCTCCAGCTCGACGCGGGCCCGCCTCTCGTGCTGTGGGGGGGCCGACATCCGCGTGGCCTTGTATGCCATCTCGATGCGTCGCCAGTGGCGGGATTTCTTCGGATTCGACATCGTCCGCGCGACGGAGGTGGGGGGCCAGGCCGTGCGACCAGGAGACCG